CTGATGTTGTGGTCGGGAGGGGAGTTACTGGATTTAAGATCATTAGTCAAGAGATCCCATAAATCAGGTTAACTGCAGCGTAAACAGGATTATTAGACAAACACATGCAGCCCAGACGTCAGAGACACACCATAATACAATCACCCTGATGTCAGCAATAAACTGCAAACATCTCTGTGGCCAGTTATTGTGTCACAAGAACGAACACACTTTTGTCGTCACCACAGACATTAAACTGTGTGTATTTGCTGTTGTGGCTGTTTGATCCAGACGAAAGCAGCTGCAGATGAACTGGCTTTAACAGTGACAGACGTCCAGCTCTGGCTTTTATTTTATCTAAAGGCACCAAATAGACTTTTGATGTTTATAAAAATAATATTTGTAAAGAAATGCACGTCTTTTTTGATGCAGTAAATGAGACAACTTGCAGATATTCGATCAGTAATTCCTTGTAAACTCCTCTGTCTCTGTAAAACTGCAGTTAAACTGTCAGCAGCCGACATTTTCTCCTTTGTTGACTCGTTTACCTGCAGCGCTGCCGGACAGGTAGAACAGGTGAGGAGGTGTCGGGTTACACCGGCTGCTGCTCACACGGTCGAGACGGAGAGACTCAAAACGCCGCGTTTCCACTGAAAACACGTCAGAACTGTTATAACTCAGCAGCAGAACGAAGAGGTGAGTGTTTGATTGTTCCTAAATGTGGATTTAAACCTTTAGAGCAGCTGCTTGGTGTGCGTACAGAGGAAGTGTGTTAGACGGTGGGACAGGTGTGGCACCTGGCGACTGTACCGCAGGTTCAGAGTAAAACACAACAAAGTGGGAAACAAGCTGCTGTGTTATTTTACTTTGGTTCAGAAGAGAGGAAAGTTCAGCGGCCTGTGGACTGACTGAGCACAAACCTCAACAACATCACCTAAATGAGTCTAAACTGGATCAGCTCTCAGTAAGTGGAATATCTCCAGCTGGAACCGGCCAGACTTTCCTCTCCTGAATAATCACAAACAAATTCTGTGGAAAAACTATATTGAAAGTTCAGGCCCCAAAGAGGAAACGTAAAGCTGCTGAGTTCACCTGTGAATCAACCGAACTGTGTCTATGTCTACATCATGGCTCCACATCACTGAAATCTGACCAAAATAGCTCCAAGTTGGTCCAAAAACAAGTTAAAGTTGTCCAAAGCTACACCAAACTCATCTAAAATGACTCATAACTAGTTTGAAATACTAGAAATGTGTCCAAAGTAAATTTGAAAAGTTCAAAATAACTCAAAATATGTCAGTTTTTCCAAAATTTGTTCAATATTACTTGAAATTATCGACAATGACTAAAGATTTCTTCAGGCTCGTCAAAATTTGTTGAGAAATGATTTGAAATTTGTCCAAAATGTGAAATCTGTCCAAAGTTACTTGAAATGGGTCCAAAGTCAGTTCAAAAGTCCAAAAGGATTCAAACTTTGGCGCAATCTGTCTAGAATGAGTTCAAATCGTCCAAAACGACCATGAATTTGTGGGTGTGTTGAGACGTCTGACCACCACCTGGACAGCGTCTCCTGACTTGGACCCAACAGAACCCCAACAGAACCCCTCCATGCTCTGCTGATAACTGAACCCTGCTCCTCCTCAGCGCCTCATGGCTCCTAAGTACGACGGCCTGTCCCACTGCAAGCTGGCCCTGGTGTTCGCGGTTCTGATGGACCTGCTGGGCGTCACCTTCCTGCTGCTGGGCGTCTTCGCTCCGCTGGAGATCCAGGGCCAGGACTTCGGAGACCTGCTGGTGTACTCGGGGGCCCTGCTGGTTCTGTTTTCTCTGGCCGGCTGGGTCATGTGGTACAGCGGCAACATCGAGGGTCTGACCTCCAGGAAGGAGTTGGGCGGGGCCGTGGGCGGCGCCGTGGACCGACTGGCCCGGTCCCTGAGCCGCAGGATACGGATCCCCCGGACCCACAGCAGCCCCACATAGACCCAGAACCGGCCCACTGGCTCACAGCGCTGGTGCACAGAGAACTGAACNACGACTGGATCATCAGCCGCTTTACGTTCCCAAGGGCAATTCACTTAGAACTGTGCGGCCGTTATTGGAGCGCAACCCACCCAGGAGCCATGTCCTACCTGTGCCCATACAGGTGCTGACCCACTGGGCTTCCTGGCCACAGGGTCATTTCAGAGGGAGCTGGCAACTCTCCGCTCAAACAGGGTGAGTTCATCCTGGTTACTGTTACCTGATCATACAGAGAGGGAAATCCCACCCTGGGATCTCTTGACTAATGATCTTAAATCCAGTAACTCCCCTCCCGACCACAACATCAGTTTTCAGGTCTTTTCTTATTAATCTTTTAATAAATCATTTTACTGGTCGGAGTAAATCAAAACAAGTGTTTGATGTCACACTTTATACAAAAGCAGCTTCTGTGTTTCTTTATTAAAATATATAAACATTAAATTTTTTTTTTTACTCTTTACAGCAGGTTATCTATCAGTCTGACCAACACTAACCTCAACTTTTTTTTTTTAGTTTTGCAAGTTATATTTCTGAAGATATTTCACCCTTAAATGGCTTCCCAGGTGAGACTTTTTAAAGACTAAATTACAATAATGTGTGAAAACCTGAAACTCTCTAAATCAGCCAGACTATTTGACAGAACTCCGTTTTGTGTTCAGGGTCAAAGGGAAGTCTCGCGGGAATATATTCAGAGAATGAGAACACACGTGAATAGGAAGTTAATGTATGTGTGTGGCGAACTGTGATGTTAAAAGACACTTTTTTTGCTCTTTGCAGGTAAGCAGGGAGAGTTGAAACTGTGTAATCGTTGTTATATTTGTTAGTTTATTAACCCGGTTGGAGTTTCTGTGGTATTGTTTACGAGAGTCAGCCAACGTAATGTAATGAAAATGGCTAGCTACTGGTTAGCACTGGTTGCTAGCTACCGCGAGCGCGGGGCTCGGAAGTAAACGGTGAGCCCGCACCGCTCGGTAGTGATTCATGAATGTGAACAAATAGCTTAAAATAGAGGTATGATTGATAATATTAATATTGTTTTGATTAATCTGATAATTTGGTAAACATGATTGGCTTCCTGTGTGTGTGAGAAACAAGTTACTGTTGAATGTAAACTAAACTGATTTGGAGCACTGATGCAAGACATGATTTACTGTTTATATGTTGGTGCAGAAGTTCATCATTTTTATGTTAAAATATGGGAATATATTCAGAGAATGAGAACACAGAGAGTTTCAGGTTTTCACACATTATTGTAATTTAATCTTACAAAAGTCTCACCTGGGAAGCCATTTAAGGGTTAAATATCTTCAGAAATATAACTTGCAAAACTAAAAAAAAAAGTTGAGGTTAGTGTTAGTGTTGGTCAGACTGATAGATAACCTGCCGTAAAGAGAGAAAAAAAAAGATTAATGTTTATATATTTTAATAAAGAAACACAGAAGCT